AAGGTAGGCTGCCACTACTGTGCAGACCTTCGAGAAAACTCAAGGGGCAGAAGAAAGGCCAAAGGGGACCCTGCACTGAAAGTGATCCTTCCCCACGGTGAAGTCTGTGAGAAGAATGTATTGTGACGTAGAAGTACGTGTCCTGTAGGTCGAGGGCTGCAAACCAGTCCCCTTTGTCTAGTGCAGGAATAATTCAAGTCAATGTGACTATTTTGAAGCACTGTTTCCGTAGGAACTTGTTTAGCTTGTGTAGAACTAGAACTGGTCTCTAGCCCTGTGTGCTTTTGGGTCAGGAAGTAAGTTGAATAAAACCCTCTTCCCCTGTATAGATGGGGGACTCTCTCTATTGCTCCTAGTTGGAGGAGCCGATCGATTTCTTGCCTGAGAGGGGTCTCGTGAGAGAGGTCTCTGAAGAGGGACTGAGAAGGGGGCAGGATAGGGGAAAGTGAAGTGAAGGGAATAGTATACAGATGATTTCTAGCACCCACTGGTCTGATGTTATGGAGTCCCAATGGTGGAAAATGAGATGCAGCCTGCAGGCAAAAAGGTGTTTCTGGCTTATTGTCATTGGATGGTTGGGGAAGTCAACATCTTTGACCAAAACTTCAAATTTGGTGCTTGGAGGCCTGGGAGCCAAAGGAGCGTGACTGAGGTGAGCACTTCATCTGGGGCCATTATCTGGATCAGTTGCAATTGTACGCTTTGTGTTGGGGGTGGTTGTAGTAGGTGCCCTTGTTTCTGTTGTATGGGATATGATGGCGTATACATGCCCAGAGGCTGGAGAGTGGTTCTGGAATCCTTGCTGTTATATAGGATCTCATCTGTGTTAGCTGCAAACAGCTTTTGTTTATCGAAAGGGAGATCCTCCACCTTGGTTTGAAGCTGCCTGAGCACTCCTGCTGCATGTAACGAGGAGGCTATCCTCATCACAACTGCTGTGACCATTGATCTAGCCGCTGCGTCAGCCAAGTCAATTGCCAAGAGTAGTGACGTGCAGGTGATGATATATCCCTCGTGGATGACAACTCTAAGGAAGGGCTTTTTTAAGTCTGGGCATATCTAAGGAAGGGCTTTTTTAAGTCTGGGAAGTGTTCCATAAGTCCGGCCAGTTTGGAGTAGTTGTCAAAATCATGGTTAGCTTAGAGTGCAGAGTAGTTAGCAATTCTGAGTTGTAGTGTGGCTGAAGAATATATTTTTCCCCCAAAGAGGTCTAATTTTCTATGCTATTTGTCGCTGGTTGCCAACTTAAACTGAGGGGCTTTCGAGCATTGGTTTGCTGCATCCACCACCCACATATTTGGTAGGGGATGGGAGAAAAGGATGTCTAGGTCTTTAGGAGGGACAAAGTACTTCCTGTCCACTCTTTAGCAGGCTGGCTGGCTGGAGGTGGGTGTTTGCCATATGTCATCAAACACTTCCATAATGGCTTCATTGATTGGTAGTGTAATCCTTTCCTGAGAGGAGAGGCAGATGTTCTTCAGGAGGCGATGCTATTTCTTCTTTACCTCTTGAAACTGAACTTATTGGCTGGTGGCGACCCTCTTAAAAAGTTCTTGAAATTGTTTCATGTCATAAGTGGTGTGCATGTCCTCCAGAACTACAGCTTCATCAGGAGATGAAGATGAGTTGTCTCTAAGGGTATGTCTAGACTACATGGCTCTGTTGCCAGAGCCATGTAGATTAGTTTACTAGACATACCCAAATGAAGCTGCGATTTAAATAATCACGGCTTCATTTAAATTAAAATGGCTGTTGTGCTGTGCCGATCAACTGTTTGCATACTGGGGAGGTCGACAAATGCCTTTGATGTCGACCGCGGAGCATCCAGACTACAGCGCTGAGCCAACAAGCAGCTGATTGGCACAGCGCGACAGCCATTTTAATTTAAATGAAGCCGCGATTATTTAAATCGCGGCTTCATTTGGGTACGTCTAGTCA